GCGCTGTCTCTTCAGAAACGAGGACCCAACACCACAGGATGGTTTGGAAAAAACAGGGTGCGAGCCCCGGGCAGGGCACTTCAATCGAAAAAAACAATGTGCACCGGACGGGGGGATCAACAATAATTATTCTTCAGAAATGAGAGTTCAACAACAACAAAAACAAGAACAACAATTAGCCTGGCGAAGGACCCAACCATATGCAACTGTGAATACCGCAAATGTGAATATCGTTTTCGGCGGCGCTACCTCTGGGTAGTGGAGACGCATGCGAACACCCCCACTGGGGCCTTCGGTGGAGCTCCCTATGGGGCTACGAAACGCTGCCCTGGGTGGGGGAACCGCATGCAGGCAGCCCCACTGGGGCCTTCGGTGGAGCTCCCTGTGGGGCCACGAAACGCTGCCCTTGGTGGGGGAACCGCATGCGGGCACCCCCACTGGGGCCTACGGTGGAGCTCCCTCTGGGGCTACGAAACGCTGCCCTGGGTGGGGGAACCGCATGCGGGCAGCCCCACTGGGGCCTACGGTGGAGCTCCCTATGGGGCTACGAAACGCTGCCCTGGGTGGGGAACCGCATGTGGACACCCCCACTGGGGCCTTCGGTGGAGCTCCCTATGGGGCCACGAAACGCTGCCCTGGGTGGGGGAACCGCATGCGGGCACCCCCACTGGGGCCTTCGGTGGAGCTCCCTATGGGGCTACGAAACGCTGCCCTGGGTGGGGGAACCGCATGTGGACACCCCCACTGGGGCCTTCGGTGGAGCTCCCTCTGGGGCTACGAAACGCTGCCCTGGGTGGGGGAACCGCATGTGGACACCCCCTCTGGGGCCTTCGGTGGAGCTCCCTCTGGGGCTACGAAACGCTGCCCTGGGTGGGGGAACCGCATGCGGGCACCCCCACTGGGGCCTTCGGTGGAGCTCCCTCTGGGGCTACGAAACGCTGCCCTGGGTGGGGGAACCGCATGTGGACACCCCCACTGGGGCCTTCGGTGGAGCTCCCTCTGGGGCCACGAAACGCTGCCCTGGGTGGGGGAACCGCATGTGGACACCCCCACTGGGGCCTTCGGTGGAGCTCCCTCTGGGGCTACGAAACGCTGCCCTGGGTGGGGGAACCGCATGTGGACACCCCCACTGGGGCCTTCGGTGGAGCTCCCTATGGGGCTACGAAACGCTGCCCTGGGTGGGGAACCGCATGTGGACACCCCCACTGGGGCCTTCGTGAGCTCCCTGGGGCTACGAAACGCTGCCCTGGGTGGGGGAACCGCATGTGGACACCCCCACTGGGGCCTTCGGTGGAGCTCCCTATGGGGCTACGAAACGCTGCCCTGGTGGGGAACCGCATGTGGAACCCCCACATGGGGCCTTCAGTGGAGCTCCCTCTGGGGCCACGAAACGCTGCCCTGGGTGGGGGAACCGCATGTGGACACCCCCACTGGGGCCTTCGGTGGAGCTCCCTATGGGGCTACGAAACGCGTGAGAGGTGTGCCGAGAGCAGAGGAGGCAAGGAGGGGGAGGAGGGCGAGGAGGAGGAGGAACGCGGGGCACCGTCTCTTCAAAACGAGGACCCAACACCACAGGATGGTTGGGAACAAAAACAAAAAAAACGTGCCTCTTTTCTCGAAACCTTGAGAAAGACGTGGCCACGCTCGCCCATCGCCACGGACCCGACAGGCGCAGGGGGCCCACGTCTTTGGCCGTAGCGGGACAAGGTCAGACCACTTGAGGGCTCCTGGGGCCGCATGCGGACCGTGCGAGAGCTGCGCTGAGGACGCCTCCGGCCGTGTTGGGGCCTCCGGGGGCCCTCCCGGGGGTCTCTTGGGCAATCTGATTGGACGCTTCTTGGGGCCTCTTGGGGCCTCTTGGGGGCCTCTTGGGGGCCACCAGGGGCTCTCTGTGGGCGGGAAGCTGGACATGTTGGTCCGTGCTCCCTCTCTGCGGCGTCTCCTGGGGCGATGCCGGGGCATTCTTGCGCCGTCTTGGGGTACTCCTGGGCCGTCTCAGGGGCCTCTTGGGCCGTGAGGGCGCCCTCTTGGGGGCCCTCTTAGGGCGTCTTGGGGCGACCTTTGGGACCTCTTGGGGCCGTCTAAAAGCATCGGGAAGCCGACAAAGCGGAAACGCGAGGAACGTCGAAAAACCTCCAGGAGATCAATGATTCGAGATTCGATGCCTCCTGGAGCGTTCCAGGGGCTTCTTGGGCCATCTTGGGGCCATCTTGGGCGTGGACAGTTTCCTTCGGGGCCGTGGACGACCCGAGGAGGGGAGGGCGAGGAGGAGGAGGAGGAGGAGGAGGAGGAGGAGGAGGGGGCGGAGGACGGGTCGCCCGAGCCCTTCGGAGAAACCTTCCGCTTGGGCGTCTTGGACCGATCTTTCGGTGGCTCGTGGCCCGGACCACCCTGCAGCCCATCTCGGAGCCGTCCGTTAAAACAGAGCTAGGATCGGGATAAATCGCTCCAGAGCGTTCCGGAGCGCTCTCAGAGCGTTCCGGAACGCTCTGGAGCGGCCGCGGCGCCCAATACATCCTCCAAACCCGCCGATTCTCAGAGATTTCGAGTTATCCCGATCCGATTTTGTCCCGATCTTCGCGTCGTTTGATCCGTGCCGCCCAGAAGCGTGTCTGCCAAGATGGGGCCGGCTCCCGCCGTCTTCGGCGCGCCTCCGCCGGCGCTCCGCCCGCGGCTGGGGCCGTGCTCCGAGGGGAGCACCCCGGGACATCAGGAACATACAAATCACAGGAGGAGGAGGAGGAGGAGCAGGAGGAACAGGATTCCCCGTACGTTCCCGTATTTTCTGGGTTTTCGTTTCCCCCCCCCCCTTTTCCCCTATTTTCGCATATTGTCCGGGGAAGCGACGATTCCTTGTCTGTGTGTGTGTTTTTCTCCCTCCTGAGGGAACCCCTCGTCAAGGTCGGGGAGAAGCTGCATAAACATGCAGGCTCGGAGGGCCGCGCGGTTTCTCGCCAGGGGGAGCCCAGCGCAGATCCAGGAAACCCGCGCGGAGCTCTGGAAGCGTGTGTGCTTTCAAGCCTTGCTATTCGAGAGAAGCTGTCCTGAGCACAGGAGATCCCACCACCCGCGACTGGGGCGGAGTTCTGCTCCAGCTCTACGGACTCCATGCGCACCTGCGCAGCGTGGCCCTGAGTGTTCTTGACCATCACGGCACCACCGTGGGTACCCGCCGAGTTGGCCCTGAAGATGCTCCGGTTGACGCTCACGGCGACGCCCGCCTGGATGGCGAGGGCGCCGCCCGAGCTGCCGGCGAGGTTGCCCTCGAAGAGGCAGTCCCCCATATCGATCTCGACGTCGCCCGTCGCACCCGCGATGATCTCGATGGCTCCCCCAGCGTACAGCGCGGAGTTGCCCACGAACGTCGAGCCCCAGATGGCGAACGGCGAGCCCGGGTCCCCGCTGCCAATGACCGGGGTCAGCTTGAGGGCGCCGCCGCCGCCGCGCTCGGCCACGTTGCCGTCGAAGGTGCAGTTCTGGAACAGGTAGGCCCCAGGCGCCGCCACCACGGTGCCAGCCCCGCCAAAGGTGCCGGCCACGTTCCGGACGAAGGTGCAGTCGCTGAAGATGAGGGTGCCCCTGGAGCCCTCGTACTGGGACCGGATGCCGCCAGACTCCTCGACAGCGGTGTTGTTGTACCAGGTGCAGTTCTTGAAGTCGGGCTTGGTGTTCGCGCTGATGTAATGCGTCGCGGTCTCTGCAAAGTTGTGCCGGAAAATGCAGTTCTGAAATCTTGTCTGGGAAGTGCCGTAATGGTAGGCAGCACCGCCACGTCCCGCATTGCCATACTCGAAGATGCAATCCTTATACAGCGGGTGAGCCGTGCCGCCGTCATCTAAAGCTGCACCGTAGCCAGAGGAGCCGTAGGCGAAAGTTACGTTGTAAAACTCCGTGGCTGCATCTTCCTCCATAAGCATTGTGCCTGCCCACTGCGTCCCCGCGGTGCGCAGGAACACCGAGTTGCGCACCACGGAGCGATCAGCGCCCCATCCAGCGACGCCACCCCCGTGATTCGCAACGCAATCTTCCACCCTGATGTCCTCAATAAGCGCAGTGGAGTCCCTCATGTATATGGCACCACCAGACCAGTCAAGGTACTCCACCGCAGGCAGCGTGCAGTCCATGTCTCGGATGGCCACCCCCCGGATAGTCGCGTTCGACCCCACCAGACTGAAGCCACCGCCGTTTCTCCCCGAGGCATTCGCGGCGCCGCAGAAGCCGTTGGTGAGGGTGAGGTTTTCCACCAGCACATCGCCGGCCGTCGCATCAAAAGTGAAGCCAACACCAAGGCGCTCGAGGTCCAAGACCGTCGCGTCCCGCCCCCCAGTGCCCACGATGGTCAGGTCTGCCACGCCGCCAGCGTGAAGGTTCCGGTTGCCGGGACCTCGGTAGGTCCCGGGGAGAATCCGCCGCCCATCCGGGGTCACAAGCGTGGGACACATGTTCTTGGCAGGGAAACGAACTCTGTACACCGACGCTTTTTCCGACCCTGCGCAGACATTCGCACAGAAACGCGAATTCTGGTGTATACGGGATCCTGCTGTATACATTTTTCGTTGTTTGCCCGGGACATCGGGGGAAAAAGTATACACCACACCACCCCAGCGTCGTCCCCGACCCTCGAAAAGTCCTGGGATTCAAGAAACAGCCCGCCACTGGTAATGTATACGTTCCAGTTTCCGACTTGGCTCCGCGAGAGCGCCCGAGTGGTCGATCGGCACTGCCCATACATCCCGACCCGACCCGAGGAGGAGGAGGAGGAGGAGGAGGAGGAGGAGGAGGAGTAGGAGGAGGGTGGGGGTCGAGGGGAAGGAGGAGGAGGAGGAGGAGGAGGAGGAGGAGGAGGAGGAGGAGGAGGAGGAGGGGGAGGGGGAGGGGGAGGTCGAGGGGAAGGAGGAGGAGGAGGAGGACGACGAAGATGAGGAGCAGGAAAGGGAGTGGGCTGCCCTGGCAAGGGGCAGCGGCAAGCAGCATCGCGTCCCACAAGCGCGGCAACTGCCTGACCCTCCCAAGCCCCCGTCCCCGGGGGTGACGGGTATCCCCGTTGGGGAAGGAGGGGGCGCAAAAGGTGCCCGAGAGCACACGGGTGTTCCCGGCACCTCCAAGGCGGGCTCGTGACGACCATGAGGACGTCAAGGCGCCACGCAGATGGCCCCACAGGGCCAGGACACTGCTGGGAGAACGCCAAACATGGCAGAATGAGCCTCAACATGATCCAGGCGAGGTACCCAAGGGACCCAAGATAGGCCCGAGAGCAGCTAAACTCAATACGACGCTCCGACGACTGCTTGGGGAACCTGATATTGCCACGAATCCCGACCTGAAAATGGAGGTGGGGATGATTGGTGAGAGCGGCAGGGACAAGGAAGGAGTGGCCTGTTGTGGGCTTGATTAGACGACGGGGAAGACGTCCGACGAAGAAATATGTATAATCGTGGTTGGTCTCTCGGGGGCTTCTGGGAAACTGTTTTGAGGCCTCTTGGGGGTAGTTTTGGGGCATCATTTGGTCTTTTGGACGCCTATTGGGGCCTCTTGGGGGCCTCTTGGGCGCTTCTTGGAGCCTCTTGGGGGCCTCTTGGGGCATCCTGGGGCTCTCTTGAGGCAGAAGGATCGAATTTTCGGTTCCTGGTCCCGCTCTTGGGCCCCTCTTGGTGCCGTCTTGGGGCCCTCTTGGACCATGTTGGGCGCTTCTTGGGCCGTCTTGGGGCCCTCTTGGGCAGTCTTGGGGCCCTCTTGGGGGCCTCTTGGACCGTCTTGGGGCAATCTTGGAGGCTTCGTGGGCCGTCTTGGAGCGTCGGAAAGCCGAAAAGGCGCGAAGTCCAAACCTTTCAGAAACCTTCGTAAAATTGATGATTTCCACCTCTTGGGGCTCTCTTGGGCGGCTAATTGGAAGCCTCCTGGGGCGTCTTGGCGGCCTCTTGGGCCATCTTGGGCCCAGATTGGGCTGTCTTGACCGCTCAGTCGGCGATTCGTTACCCTCGTGGGTCATCTTGCGGACTCTCTTGGAGCCGCCCGGAGAAAAAGATAGTGCGTCTTGGAGGGGAGCTCAGCACGCGACCATGCGAGTGACGAGGTGAGCTCAGCACGGTCCCATGCGAGCCACCGGCGGGGGGAGGATGTCGCGGGTTCACATGGCGGGCAAGGCAAGGGAGTAGGAGGGTCCTGGAGGCCCCTGGGGGCCTCAGGTATCGTGAAAGGTTGTGTCGGGAACGATTCTGAGGAAAAGGTGGCCCAAAAAAACGACGGTACGTGTTGGAGGCGGGGTCCGCACGCAACCAGGCGAGTCAGGAGGTAAGCTCAGCACGTGTCCATGCGAGCCACATGAAAGGGAGGGGGGGAGCTCAGCACGCGACCATGCGAGTCACGAGGTAGGCTCAGCACGTTTCCATGCGAGCCACAGGAAGGGAGGGGCGCGGTTTCGCATGACGGGCGAGAGAATGGAGTTTGGGGGATCTGGAGGTCCTGGGGGCTCTCGGGTTGTGCTGGACGTTATGTCGGGCACGTGTCTGACTGTATGAGGACTGGATTGGACGACTTGCGGCGTGAGGCTCCTGGGGGCCTCAGGTTTCGTTAGAGGTTGTGCCGGGCACGTTTCTGCGGAAAAGGTGGCCCCAAAAAACGACGGTACGTGTTGGAGGTGGGGTCCGCATGCGACCAGGCGAGTCAGGAGGTGAGCTCAGCACGTGTGCATGCGAGCCACATGGGAGGGAGGGGGTGAGCTCAGCACGCGACCATGCGAGCCACGGGGCAAGCTCAGCACGTTTCCATGCGAGCCCGTTACGCTGAGATGTGTAACGCACATTGCATTGGTTTCCGGGTTGTCCGTTTGACGCGGTGACGCTTTGTCGAGGCGCCTCCAGCCGTCGTGGGGCCTTTGTGGGGCTGTTTTCATACCCTTTTGGGAGATTGTGGAGGCGTGCTGGAGACCTCTGAGGGAGAGCTCAGGAAATGTCTATACGAGCCAGGAAGTCCTGGGACTGTCCGCTTGTCGCTGTGACGCTTTGTCGAAGCGTTTCCAGCAGTCCTGGGGTCTTGGGGCAATCCTGAGGCCCTCTTGGGCGCTCATAGGGGCTTGCTGTAGGCGTCGTGGGGTCGTGTGGCCTCGTGGGGTCTTCTTGGGGGCCTCTTCGCGGCCCCGTCGGGTCCTTCAGCCGTCCTGGGGCACTCCTGAGGGAGTCCCAGGGCTGTCCGTTTGTTGCTCTGACGCTTTGTCGAGGCGCTTGGAGCAGTTCTGTGGTCTTGGGGCAGTCCTGGGGCCCTCTTGGGTGCTTCTGGGGGCTTCCTGGAGGCGTCTTCAGGTCTGGAGGCCTCTTGGGTGTTCTCGGGGGCCTCTTGGGGTCTGATTAGGTTTCCGTGTTATCCGTTCGACGCTGTGAGGCTTTGTGGAGGCGCCTCCCGCCGTCCTGGGGCTCTGTCGGGGCAGTCCTGGGTCCATCTTGGGCGCTTCTGGGCGCTTGGTGGAGGCATCTCGAGGGTTCTTGGGGCCTCTTGGAGGGTGCTTGGGGGCCTCTTCAGGCCTCCTCAGGGCTTATTGGGGCCTCTTGGGGCCGTCTTGGGAGCCTCTGGGGGCCTCTAGAGGGGTTGTTGGGGCTGAGAACTTGAGAAATGGGCCTCTGCCTCCGCTCCAGGTGCTCTGTTGGGGCCTGCCTGGGGCGCTTGTGAGGCCGTGTTGGAGGCCTCGTGGGTCGTCTTGAGGACATCTTGGGCCGTCTGAGCGCTCGCTTGGGGGTCTCTGAGGCTCTGTTGGGGCGATCTTTGGGGCCTCTTGGGCCGTGTCGGAGCGGCGGAAAGCCGCAAAGGCGAAAACCCCGAAAACCTTCAAAAACCTAAAGAAAACTGATGATTTGTTACGCTTCGGGCTCTCCTGGAAAGCCTCACGGGGGCCTCTCGGGGCGTCTTGGGGGCTCCCTGGGCCGTCGGGACGCCATCTCGGGCGTCTGGGGCCGATCTTTCGGCGACTCGAGGCCTTCTGGAACCATCTTGTTGACCATCTTGGGGCCGTCCGTGCTTCCCAATGGCGCGTCTGCAGAAATGGTGCAGTGTCCTGCCGCGTCCTGCCGCATCCTGCCGGTGTTCTGCCGTCTTCCGCCGGCGTTCCGCCCGTGGCCGGGGCCCTGTCCCCGGGGGTCCCCCCCCAGACCCCCCCAGGGGGACACTAAACGGGAACCCCTCCGCCAGGTCGGGGAAAAATACCATTCCCCATCCGACACGCTGGAGTTTTCAGAGTTGGAGAGCATCCCAGACGCCAGCCCTGCACACCGCGGCCGCCAGCCCCACCGTATCCCGGGGAGTCCCTGAGAGATCCGTCCCGCCAGCCCTGCGAAACGTGTGCCGCCAGGCACAACGTAAGCCGCAAGACCTTGAGAATCCCGCCTCGCCAACCCTGCATACCGCCGCCGCCAGGCCTCAAGTATCTTCAGGAGTGCCCGAGGCTCCCGCCTCAAGAGCTTGCATTGGGAACGTGCGCAGAGGGCACAACAGGCAGAACACGAAC